CGGTCCAGAAAGCTCCTTTCCCACCCAAAACATAGATTTTCTGTCCCCTATCCCAAACTGCTGTGGCTTGGACTGTTCATCCTCTTTCACCTTTGGCCAAGGAATTTATACCTTCTCATGTGGTGCAAGGTATGTCTTCTTCTTCGAATCTATTTTAAGTGACTTTAATCCAGGTTGAATGAGAGCTCTAAATCTGCGTATGTCATCCATTTTTTTTTTTTATAGGTATATTTGTAATATTTTTTGCTGGACTTTACTTAAATAAATTTTCATAATAATTATCAAATTCCAAAAGTTAGATATGTAACGAGTCCTACAAGTTGAGACAAGTGATCTTACCTGGTGGTGAAGCCATGTGTTGGCTTGGCGTTGCTATGGCCACCCTGGCCTCCCAACAAAAAAATTCAAATTTCACATAGAAATTTATTTTTTCTAACCTTGAATATTCATTTTAACTTTTAGGCCACCCCATTCATTGAACCTGACACTTCAACCTCCATTAGTGAAGCTTTTTAAATTAATTTTTATAAACTTTATTTACTTGAACATTGGAGGGATCACATCAACAAGTAACCCTATAGGCTTCTATTGACGTTTGTTTGCTCATTTTATAAGTTGTCTTAAGTTTCTGTTGGATAAACCATTTCCAAGCCCATCAATCTTCTAAACTAGATGAAAGAAAATAATTATCAATCAAACTTGAAGTTAAAAAAAAAGGTTGTTGAAAAATGAAAAGAAAACTTGACATATTACAATATTATAGTAGCATTATTGTTCAAAAAATCTATGCCTTTGGTATATATTGCTTCAATAAGACTATAAAAAAAACTATGTATTGATAAACTATACATTTTCGAAACAGAGTAATGCTACAGCTACCGACGATAGTGCACCGAATTTGTGCACCGAATGACGTGGCAAAATCCTGACCGTTTATTAATATTAAGTTAAAATTCATCAACGGTCAGGATTTTGTCATGTCATTCGGTGCACAAATTCGGTGCACTACCGTCGGTGGCTGTATTATTTTCCTTCGAAACAAATCTTTTAAATACTTATCTCAATTCTAAAATTAATGGAGGCCTTGCAGTAGCTATCCATAGTATTTCCTTTTGTATGAGCCCTTTAATATTAGCAGGCCAATCTTGCACCAATTTAAGCCCAAAATGCATGACGAAATTCGAGTCATGCTGAGCCCGACTTAGCCCAATATATAAAACCTTACAACTTCATTCTGAAATCCCAAAAAAAACGCAACAATGGTGAAACCTTCAACCACTGAAACTCCTTCTTCTTCTTCTTCATCCCATTCGGTGTCTCCTCTTCAAACATTTTTAGTCCACTTGATTTGTGGAATAGGCTTAGGCGTCGGATTCTAGGTGGCCCACAACGTCTATTCCATCAATCTCGTCTCTCGTCCTTCGGACGCTCTCCGTCTGATCTGGCTACTGTACATTTGTTTTCTTTCTCTTTTTGTCATCAAATTCAAATTTATAATCTTGGTTATTCATTAATTTTGTTTCAACACTGTAATTTAGGTTATCGAGAGCCCAATTGTTTTTCTTCTTTACAGCTATTTTTGGAAAAATCGTGACAGAGCCTCGGTAATTCACATTATTTTTTGTTAGTCCATAAAATAAATTTGCTCGTTTTTGGGATTTTTTTTATGTGAAAAATGCTACAATTTATTTGTGCACTATCTAATGTGTAGCGAAGAGTACAAGGAAAAAAAAATTAAATTTATTTTATGAGCGCAAATACTGTGCAATAAAAGAGCAATGCTTGTTTATGCTTTTATATACTCCCTTTTTTTTTTTTTTTTTTTTTTTTTTTTTTCTACACAACTTTTAATTTTTTTTAAAAGAATCTCAGCCCTTGGATCAAGAATCCAAGAGCTTAGCCGCACAAGTAAAGTTACCGCCGTAAGAAACTACTCCCTCCGTTTTTTTTTAATAGTTATTTTAAGGGTTTTTAATTTTTTCAAAATAAAAGTCGTTCATGTCTTGTCTTTTCAAAAAAAGTATATAGATGAAAGAGAAATAAGTAATAAATGAAATGCAATAAGACAAAAATGTTAATTATTTAAATAAGCGGGAAAGTTTCCCACTTGCAAAGTCTTCACCCACCTGTAAAATCAGGGGAAAAAGTTGGTGGGAGAGAGAAATTTTTTTTTTATTAAAACTTGTGCTCAAACTTAAAACGGTTATTTAAAAAAAACGGAGGGACTATTAAGGTTACCAGCAAACATTAGCAAGCATTTCATTTTACAAGTTGCTTAAAAGTTGCAAATTACAGTCTCATGAATATACCAGGCCATATTAAGTTGTTAACCTATAGTTTCTTTAATTGGAATTATGCACTTATATAAAAAAGAATCCAATGGTCAATATCATCCCAGTAACATTACAAGGCACGTACTCTAGCAAACTGTATTTCAGTAACATTACCACAAACTTCCATGTGTATATATACTCCCTCCGTTTTTTTTTAATAGTCGTTTTAAGTTTGGGCACGGGTTTTAATAAAAAAAATTTCTCTCTTCCACCAACTTTTTCCCTTGATTTTGCAGATGGGAGAGACTTTGCAAGTGGGAAACTTTCCCGCTTATTTAAATAATTAACATTTTTGTCTTATTGCATTTCATTTATTCTGCATTTCTCCTTCATCTGTATACTTTTTATGAAAAGACAAGACAGGAACAACTTTTATTTTGAAAAAATTAAAAACCCTTAAAATGACTATTAAAAAAAAACGGAGGGAGTAGTTTCTTACGGCGGTAACTTTACTTGTGCGGCTAAGCTCTTGGATTCTTGATCCAAGGGCTGAGATTCTTTTAAAAAAAATTAAAAGTTGTGTAGAAAAGCCGGCTATTTAACAGAGCTATGTGGTCTAGCAACTCTATTTCTTACTAATAAGATGTTCCATGTAACAAGTGTATGTCATATGTTATCTGAAAAATATTATTACAGTAACTTCACTGTGATTTTGATTTAGCATTAGAGCTATTTATGGAACATTTTATACTTGTAATATTTACAAGACATATTTCACTGTAAATTTGGCAATAATGTTACAAGTATGATGTTTCATGCAATTTGTGATGATTTACATAAAATATCCATCCCATCCACTCACTGATATTGTTGAAGACCTAAGTTTGTTTTATATCGGTTTTTTATGTGATTTTTTATTTCTTTCCTTTATATTTTTTTAACAGTATTTCAAAGCTGTGGTACGAGGCCTACTGGGGCTCCCTGTTGGTTAGTCTGATATTTGTGTTTCACCTTTTTGTTCTGTTGTTGTTCTTTTTTTTTTAACTTTTCTAAATACTTTTTCACTGGTTTTATTTAGTATAGTTTCTATTGTTGATTTTGTATCTATACAGATACAAATGTTTAGCATGGTTGTATGTTTTCTTCCATTTAGTTTGAAGATAAAGCAGAACTTATGTTGCAACATACTATGAGTGATGTTGTTCATTCTGCACTAGATTTTGAATGAAACGGTATCTTTTTCCAATCTTAATGGTAGTTTTATTTCCTTGATGTGTATTTGATTTTGAATAATGTTGGATTAGTTTGTTATACTGCCTAAATAAGAAATTTTTGTGGAGCATTTAAATGTGGCTTGATGAAGATTCATAGTCTTTGTAGGTTCAATGTACTTGTATTGGAAATGTTCCTGTTATATGCTTTAATTTTGGTAGCTTCAATAATTTTGTTATTGTGGTTAATTGAACAAGTTTTTACCTGCTTATAAGCAAATTTATGTGTGTATCATTTTTTCTGTTCAATTTGAAGATGGAAGGCAATGGTTATAAATGGGTCCTTAAAGAAATGTTTTCCAGTTACAATGAGTGATCTCCAAGTCATGTGTCTAGCTTTGGATTATAATGTAACAGTCTTGTGTCAGTGTTTAGAGAAATATAGTTTGGTTTAGAGTAGCACTACCTTGTAACCACACTTGGTAAAACAAAAGGATCATATATGTTTGTTTAACATCTCATTTATGTCTTTATTTTTAGGCGAGGATTTATGTTCCCTTTGTTTTTTCTGCATAACATAAAATAACTGATCCATCTTCTACTTTGTAAGGGCTCTTGTAAATGCTTTAGGAGCTATTGCTTTGGGTGCACCTGTGGGCATTCAGTATGTGGAATAAGGTAGATAAAAATTTGTGCCTTTTACAGTTATTATGGAAACAGAAGTCACAGTTGAGGTCAAAATGGGGTCACTCATAGTTCCTTAAACAACACCTTTCTTCACTGTCAGGTACACAAAGCCCCTACATTTTTTACAAGTGGCTTTCCTGTTTCCTTTTAAAACCTTTTAAAACTTTCTGAATTTTGCTCTTCTCCAAGAATAGAAAGTAAAACTTTAATATAATAGATAAAGTTGGGTGGGGAATTCATTTCAAAAATTTGTTCTAACTGTCCAAATCTCAACTGTGACTTTGTTTCAAAATTGTGGAGACAGAATGTGTCAAGATAATTTTGGATTAAATGTATTTAACCGTAAATAACTTGTAGATGTAATTGTTTATTGGTTTTAATAAATTAAGTTTTCTTACAAAATGAGCATTGATCATGTCTATTTCTTATTGGATACAGTTATATGAAAAATACCTTTGATTGGGTTGCTTTTAATGTCACTGTTCACTGTAAGTACATGACTTCTTTCAGTTTTTCCTGCTGTACTATAACTAAGAAATTGTATTTGGAAGTCTGTTGAATTAAACTTCATGTCCTGTATATAATGCTGCACATACATTGCAGATATAAAATGTCACAAATGTTATATGAAAGAAGTTTTCGTTCAATTTCTTTTATATTATTATTACTCTCCAATATATATATATATTAAATATGTGCACAGTGGCAACAAGTTAGGTGCATTTGAATTTTGTCAGACTTCATTTGTGTTATCCTATTATATATTACTGATTTTTTATCTTGCGTACTGGCAGTTTGTTCCTGCTGCTTCGGTATATGGTTCATCATAGCGACATATATTTGCACATACGAAGTAAGCCTTCTCTCATTTAGGCATTAATTCATGCAGTATATGTTTCATTTATTGACAAGGATATATAATTGCACAATAATTTCTAGATTTAGGATTCATGCAAGGTTGTGATGTGTTTGCGCCAAATCTTGGGGTGAAATCATAATTGAGTTTCCCTCAATTTTGTTCATGGAGTCTGCATGTTGGCCTCAACTGTTATTTGGAGTGTGTTTCCATATACGTCCATCAAACTGACGAGAAGTAAACATTGACAGTAATAGGATTTTTGTTTTGTTTCTGTTTTCTCTCATGCTTTATTGGATCAGGAACTTTATTGTATTTTTCTTAAACTTAATAGAGCTCAATAAAAGAATGTAATGAATGAAATAAGTGAATTGAAGTTGTTCTACAACTTTTACTCGCTGTTGTGAAATTTGAATCTATTTACTCTTTAGGCCAAATGGATCTGTAGACTATATGATTTGTCTACCAGCACATGGAGCTGTTATTGGAGCTTGGTTTGGCGCTTGGCCAATGCCGCTTGATTGGGAGAGGCCATGGCAGGTAAGTTGTCATTTCCCCCGTTTACTTCATATAACAGGCTACAACTGAAAGCAGTTTGTAAGTTTCTTATCTTATTTCTTTATAATTTATTATTAACTTGGTGGCATTTCATTGGTTATACAGTCATTAATATTGATTAATTGCATCTTTAACATTTTAGGGCTTATGTGAACCCCAAACTTAGCCTGCTGACTTCATGTCTAGGCATGGTGTTTTATCAGTTTGTTACCAACCCTTATTAATTAATGAATAATTGGTTGTGCTTCTTCTGGATTGTGTATAATATAGGGATAAGCATTTCAGAAATTTTAACTTATATTGTATCTTATCAGCTTATGATATATCTTATGATGTTTGTATCTGTCAAGCATTTGCTCAACTTTGCTGGTTTTAAAGCTGGATTGTGGTCCCTTTCCTGGATGAATGTGTTGTTTGGGCTGCTTGTTTTCTATTTAGGCTTGATTGATCTCATTTCCAATTCACAGGAATGGCCGATTTGTGTGAGTTATGGAGCCATGGCAGGGTATCTGATCGGAATGGTGGCATCTTTTGGCTTTGTACTAATTCGTGGAAGGCAACAGCATCAAAAAGGAGATTAGCTGTCAAGTTATTATCCATTACTGGTCGAGTCAAGTATGTATTCTTGGATTTTTCTCAGAAATAGAGCTGCTTTTGGTTTTCACTCTTAAAGTATGATTTGTTTTAGTACATTCTTGTTGGGTGTTATAGTTAGTCCAATGCAAAGATAAAAATTGGAAAATCTGTTTATTCTTGTTTGTGATATGCAAAATAACCTTTCATTTACATGAAGTGCTTCTTGTTTTGCCACACATGTTCTTAACTAGCAATTGAAAATTGAGAAATTGAGCGAAAGCTTAGAATCCAGAATTCCCTTGCATTGTAAGTTGAATGTGTATTATTTGAGCAGTTAAGATTTTTCATTCGTTTGTTTATTTACACCCATGTGAGATCAATTAGTATAGAACTCATCCACTTCGTTTAGAAAGAATTTATAAGCTTCTCATTTATAAATATATTCCTTGACTTTTATTGTTTGTTTCTTGCTAATTTTATTGTTTCTCCATATAATATTTATATAGGTGTGAAAGGAAGTAGAAGACAACTAATGAAAAGCACAGTTCAGGAGAAGAGGAGTTAAGGATGATCAGCTAAACATAAGATCTCCTATCACATGTCAAATGACATCTAAGCAGATTATATAGAAAAAGAAAAATGTTAAATCCAGGGCAGAATTTGTAAGCATGATTAAGGAAAGACAGGATAAACAAGATTTTGTTTCGATTTATTTATAAGCATGAAATCTTATAAATTTTCTGCAAATGATAAATTACAAGCTTTTAAGAGAAGTCAATTTGTTATATGGACTTGATTATGGACCTCTATTGTGGCCCTTAAAAGCTTTTTTTTATGGGCCTGAGAAATCAATCTTCATGGGCTAGAGTAAAATCAAACTCACTTGAACAGAGTTAACGATTTTTTCCCATCCAAAAAATGGCTTAACAACACTTCCCATCCTCAGACTTTTAAAATATTATTTTAGTACTCAAAGCACAAATTTGTTAGTAATTTTTGTTGTTAGAAGGGATAGGATGGCCAAAGGTCAGTTATAAGTGAGAGCAGGATGATCAATTAACATTTTGCATTTGAAATCAAAATTTAAAATTCCAAAAATAATGTATGGTTGTTATAAAAACTAGTCACATAGGAGGAAGTGCATGGGAAACTAATGCGTTTTGATACTTCTTTCAAAATAGCCAATGATTGATTTGAATGACTAAAACACCCTTATCTGCCCTCACAAAAACAAAAACAAGGATATGCTTTTTTTATTTTAATTCTGACCATCTGGTTGTGCTTCTTCTAGACTGTGTATTAATTGAAATGGTTTATAGGTTTATTATTATTGGTTAATATTTAAAAACAAAAGTATATATCTTTTAATAACAAACATGCGATGTTATCAAGTATAAGAGAAATAATTTGTGTAATAAAATGTTATCAATTTGAAATTTAATTAGCATCTTAAATTGGAGGAATCCAAGAAGTATTGTATTATAATAAAATTTGAAAATTTGAAAAGATATTGAATATTTATAGTAAATGTTAATATTCCAACATCAAGACAACTCCATTATATATTTCATTATGGCAAATCTTAATATTATCCTTTGGAACTTACTTATCAATTGTGTGGTATATAATTCTTCTTTTCAAGCAACATAAATTCAAATTAATGATTTTGGAATAATTTATAAATATTAAATGATTTTTATTTTTACTATCAAATGATTTTGGAGATAATTTATAAATATTAAGGTTGTTGAGTTATGTTTTGAGTTATTATGTTACGTAGATATATGTATTTTATAAATTAACATGTGATAAATGCTTCAATTTCTATTTTTTAACTCATTTCTTCGGTTGCTTGTCATTGCCGCTCAAGAAAGAATCTTATGTTCAGGTAATTACAAACATTTTCTTATAATATGTAATCATTCGTAACCTCAAAATTATTTGTTTTGTCTTTGATGTTATACTCAAGTTCTTGATGCTGAATTTTACTTGCATAGGTCTAGGAAGAGCCGTAATTTATATTTACTAATTTTAAATTTTGATTTTTGATTTTTTAAATATATGATCATCTCTAATATGCGATCAACGATTTCATTCAGTACCATGAGATGTTACGTTAATAATTTTTCATAACAAGTATCAAATTTCAAAAGTTATACATGGAATGAGTCCTACAAGGTGAGACAACTGATCCTACCTAGTGGTGAAGCCATGTGTTGGCTTAGGTTTGCTATGGCCACCCTGGCCCCCACCAAAAAAAAAAAAAAAAAAAAAAATTTGACATAAAAATTCATTTTTAACTTTCAGGCCACCACATTAATTGAACTTGACACTTCAACCTCCATTAGTCAAACTTTCTAAATTCATTTTTATAAACTTTATTTACTTGAACATTGCAGGGATCACGCCGACAAGTAACCCTATAGGCTTCTATTTACGTTTGTTTGTTTATTTATAAATTGTCTTAAGTTTCTATTTTAGCAAAAGAAAGAAGTTATTGATTTTAAGGACAAACCTTTTCTGAGCCCATCAATCTTCTAAACTAGATGAAAGAAAAGAATCATCATTCAAACTTGAAGTAAAAAGTGTTGCAGAAAGAACTAAAAGAAATCTAAGATTTTTCCGATTTATTGAATAATGACACGAATAGAATCAATATCAATAAGTTATATTATGAAAATTGGACATATAATAGTAGCGTTATTGTTCAGGAAAAATTATGACTTTGGTATATATTGCTCTAATAATTCTATCAAACAAAACTATGCATTGATAAAACTATCGATTTTCAAAACAATTCTTTCAAATTAATACTTGATCTCAATTCTGAAATTAGTGGGAGGTCTTGAATTAGCTATCAACAGTATTCTCTTTTTCTGGTAAAAGTTGTATTCATCCCATTTTGAAAAACTCACTAGAAAGAGATATAAATTTGAAAATACATTAAAAAGGATAAAACATTGTTAGTTAACATTAAATTTAACAAAAAAATATTGAAAAAAATAAATTAATTTTTAGAAGGAATTATTTTTTAAAAGAAATCACTTGAAAATAACTCCCTTGGGTTTTAATATTAGCAGAGCTAGGGCTGGTTAACGAATCGAGCCGCTCGCGAGCTGGCTCGGCTCGGCTCGAGTCCGGCTCGTTAACGGCTTGGTTCGTCATCTTCGTCATCTCGTCGGATCTTCATCATCTTCGTCAGATCTTCGTCATCTCCGTTGGATTTTAGGGGTAAGGTGTTTGTTTTGGCTTTGTTCTTCGGTTTGGTAGCTTGTGAAACCCATCTACGATTGAATGAGGCTGGCTCTTCTTGTTCCTCCATTTTCTCATCTGGGTTTATGGAGAACAAATAGAGTTACAGCATGAACAAACACTAGGGCTTAAGAAGTGCGTTAAGTCATTTTATGGGTACCAAAACGCAGCGTCCAGGGCACCAATTTTAATTGTTTCATTATAATTAAAATATCAAAAAGTAAAACTTTATATATAAAAATATTAATTTTTTTCATATAAATTAACGTGTCAAAAAATGAACATGTAATAAATACAAAAAGTTAATTAACAGATAACAGCCTTTAATTCTGCCCAGCAAATTAAAAAAAAAAAAAAAAACTAAATTATTTGGAGTTAGCTCGCGAGCCGGCTCAAACTCGGCTCGCGAGCTGACTCCAAATGTGTGAAACCCCTTCACGAGCCGAGCCGAGTCATATAATATATGACTCGGCTCGGCTCGTACTCAGCTCGAATATTCTTCTTCTTTCACGAGCCGAGCTTGTTAAGCCGAAAAATCTGCTCGGCTCGGCTCGTTAACACCCCTAAGCAGAGCGATCTTGTACCCATTTAAGCCCAAAATGCATGATGAAATTCGAGTCATGCTGAGCCCGAATTAGCCCAATATATATAAACCTTACAACTTCTTTCTGAAGTTCCGAAAACACAAAAACGGTGAAACCTTTAACCACTGAAATTCCTTCTCCTTCTTCTTCTTCTTCATCCCATTCGGTGTCTCCTCTACAAACATTTTTAGTCCACCTGATTTGTGTAGTAGGCTTAGGCGCCGGTTTCTGCGTGGCCCACAACGTCTATTCCATCAATCTCATCTTTCATCCTTCGGACAATCTCCGTCTGATCTGGGTACTGTACAAGTGCTTTCTTTCACTTTTTGTCATCAAATTTACAATCTTGGTTACTCATTAATTTTGTTTCAACACTGTAATTTAGGTTATCGAGAGCCCAATTGTTATTCTTCTTTACAGCTATTTTCGGAAAAATCCCGACAAATCCTCGGTAATTCACATTATTTTTGTTAATTCTTTTATTTGCTTGTTTTTGGGATTTTTTTATGTGAAAAATGTTACACTTCAACTTTTTTATTAGTGCACTACCTAATGTGTAGGGAAGAGTACAAGAAAAAAAATTTTAAATTTATTTTACAAGCGCAAATAATGTGGCAATAAAAGAGCAATGCTTGTTTATGCTTATATGTATATGGAAGTTTATGGTAATGTTACTGAAATACAGTTTGCTAGAGTACTTGCCTTGTAATGTTACTGGCATGATATTGACCATAGGATTTGTTTTTATAAAAATGCATAATTCCAATTAAAGAAACTTTATGGTTAATATGGCCTGGTATATTTGCAACTTGTAAGCAACTTGTAAAATGAAATGCTTGCTAATGTTCGCTGGTAACCTTATAGTTTCTTAGGGCGGCAACTTTATTAGTGCGGCTAAGCTCTTGGATTCTTGATCCAAGGGCTGAGATTCTTTTAAAAGAATTAAAAGTTGTGTGGAAAAGCCGGCTATTTAACAGAGCTCTGTGGTCTAGCAACTCTATTTCTTACTGATAAGATGTTCCATGTAACAAGTGTATGTCATATGTTATCTGAAAAAAATTATTTCAGTAACTTCACTGTGATTTTGATCTAGCATTAGAGCTATTTATGGAACATTTTATACTGGTAATATTTACAAGCCATATTTCACTACAAATTTGGCAATAATGTGAAAAATATGATGTTTCATGCAATGTGTGATGATTTACATAAAAATTCATCCCATCCACTCACTGATATTGTTGAAGACATAAGGTTATTTGATATTGGTTTTTTTATGTGATTTTTTATTTCTTTCCTTTATATTTTTGCAACAGTATTTCAAAGCTATGGTAAGAGGCCTACTGGGACTCCCTGTTGGTTAGTCTGATACTCGTGTTGCTCCTCTTTATTCTGTCTTGTTCATTTTTTTTTTTTTTTTTTTACTTTTCTAAATACTGTTTACTAGTTTTATTTTGTATAGTTTCTATTTGTGGATTTTGTATCTGTACAGATACAAATGTTTAGCACGGTTGTATGTTTTCTTCCATTTAGTTTGAAGATAAAGCAGAACTTATGTTGCAACATACAATGAGTGATGTTGTTCATTCTGCTTTAGATTTTGAATGAAATAATATCTTTTTTCCATATTAATATTAGTTTTATTTCCTTGGTTTGTAATGATGTGTATTTGATTTTGAAGATTGTTGGATTAGTTTGTTATACAGTCTAAATAATCAATTTTTGTGGAGCATTTAAACGTGGCTTGATGAAGATTCATAGTCTTTGTAGGTTCAATGTACTTCTATTGGAAATGTTTTTGTTATATGCTTTACTTTTGTTAGCTTCAATAATTTTGTTTTTGTAGTTAATTGATGAAGTTTTTACCTGCTTGTAAGCAAATTTGTGGCATGTGTGTGTCATTTTTTCCATCCAACTTGAAGATGGAAGGCAGTGGTTATAAATGGTTCCTTAAAGAAACGTTTCCAGTTAAAATGAGTGATCTCCAAGTCATGTTTCTAGCTTTGGATTATATTGTAACTGTCTTGTGTCAGCATTTATAGAAATATAGCTTGGTTTAGAGTAGCACTACCTTGTAACAATGCTTGGTAAAACAAAAGGATCATGTATGTTTTGTTTAAAATCTCGTGTGTGTCTTTATTTTTAGGCAAGGGTCTGTTCCCTTTGTTTTTTCTGCATAACATAAAATAACTGATCCATCTTCTTCTTTGTAGGGGCTCTTGTAAATGCTTTAGGAGCTATTGCTTTTTGTGCACCTGTGGGCATTTAGTATGTGAAACAAGGGCAGATAAAAATTTGTGCCTTTTACTGTTATTATGAAAACAGAAGCCACAGTTGAGGTCAAAATGGGTTCACTCATAGTTCCTTAAACAACAACTTTCTTCACTGTCAGGTACACAAAGCCCCTACATGTTCTACAAGCGGCTTTCCTGTTTCCTTTTAAAACTTTCTGAATTTTGCTTTTCTCCCAAAATAGAAAGTAAAACTTTAATATAATGGATAAGTTGGGTGGGGAATTCATTTCAAAAATTTGTTTTCAACTGTGACTTTGTTTTCAAAATTGTGGAGACAAAATGTGTCAAGATAATTTTGGATTAAATGTATTTAACCATAAATAACTTGTAGATTAATTGTTTATTGGTTTTAATAAAATAAGGTTTTTTTTTTTTTTTTTTTTAACAAAATGTGCATTGATCATGTCTCTTTCTTATTGGATATAGGTATATGACAAATACCTTTAATTGGTCTCTTTTAATGTCACTGTTCACTGTAAGTACATGACTCCTTTTGGTTTTTCCTGCTATACTATAACTAGGAAATTGTAGTTGGAAGTCTGTTGAATTAAACCTTATGTCCTTTATATAATGCTGCACATACATTGTAGATATAAAATGTCACAAATGTTATGTGAAAGAAGTTTTCGTTCAATATCTTTTATATTATTAGTACTCTCCAAAATATATATATTAAATATGTGCACAGTGGCAACAAGTTAGCTGCTTTGAGTTTTGCCAGACTTCATTTGTGTTATCCTATTATATATTACTGATTTTTTATCTTGTGTATTGGCAGTTTGTGCCTGCTACTTCGGTATATGGTTCATCGTGGGAAGATTGGCTACATATATTCGCACATACGAAGTAAGCCTTTGCACATATCTTGGTGGTTTATTCTCTGTATTTAGGCATTAATTCGTGCAATATATGTTTCATTTATTGAAAAGGATATATAATTGCACAATAATTACTAGGTTTAGGATGCATACAAGGTTGTGATGTGTTTGTACCAAATCTTGGGGTGAAATCATAATTGAGCTTCCCTCAATATTTTTCATGAAGTCTGCATGTTGGCCTCAACCATTAATTGGAGTGTGTTTCCATAGACGTCCATTAAACTGACAAGAGAAGTCCACATTGACAGTAATAGGATTTGTGTCTTGTTTTAGCTTTGTTTCTGTTTTCTCTCATGCTTCATTGGACGAGGAACTTTATTGTATTTTTCTTAAACTTAATGAAGCTCAATAAAAGAAAATACTGAATGAAATCAGTTAGTTGAAGTTGTGCTACAATTTTTACTCGCTGATGTGAAATTTGAATCTATTTACTCTTTAGGCCAAATGGATCTGTAGACTGTATGATTTGTCTACCAGCTCATGGAGCTGTTATTGGAGCTTGGTTTGGCGCTTGGCCAATGCCGCTTGATTGGGAGAGGCCATGGCAGGTTAGTTGTTATTTCCCCCGTTTACTTCATATAACAGGCTAAAGCTGAAAGCGTTGTAAGTTTCTTATCTTATTTCTNAAATTTGAATCTATTTACTCTTTAGGCCAAATGGATCTGTAGACTGTATGATTTGTCTACCAGCTCATGGAGCTGTTATTGGAGCTTGGTTTGGAGCTGCTATTTACTAGTCGAGTCAAGTATGTGTTCTTGGATTTTTCTCAGAAATAGAGCTGCTTTTGGTTTTCACTCTTAAAATATGATTTGTTTTGGTGGGTAGGGCTTGTCTTTTGGTACATTCTTGTTGGGGGTTATAGTTGGTCCAATGCAAAGATAAAAATTGGAAAATCTGTTTATTCTTGTTTGTGCTATGCAAAATGAGCTTTCATTTACATGAAGTGCTTCTCGTGTTCTTAACAAGCAATTGAAAATTGATAAATTGAGCGAAAGCTTAGAATCCAGAATTCCCTTGCATTGTAGGTTGAAGGTTTATTATTTGAGCAGTTAAGATTTTTCATTCGTTTGTTTATTTACACCCTTGTGAGATCAATTAGTATAGAACTCATCCATTTTGCTTAGAAAGTATTTATAAGCTTCTCATTTATAAATATATTACTTGAATTTTATTGTTTGTTTCTTGCTAATTTTATTGTTTCCCCATATAATATTTATATAGGTGTGATCAAGCTGTACCTTGTTTTTGTCTTTTGCAAAAAGCATACGCAAATCTCCCATATATGAAAGGCAAACAGATCTTCCTGCACAATCAAAGACCTAATCATAACTCTAGCAACTCTAAAATGAATGAGCAGTAACATGGAAGCAAACCTGTGTGAATTTGGAGGGCAAGAGAATAAGACAATGCAGCCCTCAAATTAACAGAGTTTTTATTTGCAATATCCAGATTATCCACAAGTATCTGTACCTGCACAAGCAACACTAGGCTCCCTGAGATTGGTAAATAGTACTAATATATGAGACGACAAACTCAATTTTCAGATCTCAGGTCATGATTAAGAACCAAAATCAGTGCAAAGAAAGTAGAAGATAACTAATGAAAAGCACAGTTTAGGAGAAGAGGAATTAAGGATGATCAGCTAAACATAAGATCTCCTATCACTCGTCAAATGACATCTAAGCAGATTATATAGAAAAAGAAAAATGTTAAATCCACGGCTGAATTTGTTAGGGACTGAGCACTACATGATTAATGAAAGACAGGATAAACAAGATTTTTTTTTCGATTTATTTATAAGCATGAAATCTTATAAATTTTCTGCAAATGATAAATTACAGCCTTTTAAGAGAAGTCAATTTCTTATATGGACTTGATTATGGACCTCTATTGTGGCCCTTAAAAGCTTTCTTTTATGGGCCTGCGAAATCAATCTTCATGGGCTAGAGTAAAATTAAACTCACTCGAACCGAGTTAACGCCTTTGTCCCACCCAAAAAAATGGCTTAACAATATTTCTCATCCGCATACTTTTAAAATATCACTTTACTATCTAAAGTACAAATCTTTTTGTAATTTTTGTTGTGAGAAAGGGTGGGATGGTCAAAGGTCAATTATATGTGAGAGCAAGAAGGTCAATTAACATTTTGCATCTAAAATCAAAATCTAAAATTCCGGAAGACAACGAATGGTGAAGGGCGGTGATTCACAAGCGACGAATGGTGAGTAACCAAGTACCAGAGTTTGAGGGGTTTTGAAGAGAGGATATTAGAGGTTGAAATGGTGGTAGAAGATTGGATTTTGGCTGCTAGAATCAAGCAGAAACCCTAGGTGGTGGAGAGTGGCGAACGACATGCAATTGGCATCAAGAAGGTTGTGGGTTTTGGAGATGGAAGGCCAGTGAGTTGATTGGTCGTCTCAAAAGGGATTTTCGAAGCCTGAAGTGGCCGAAAAAGGGCAAGAATTACATGAAACAACCGTATGCTTTTCCGGTTGATTTCGTTATCAGAAATCCTCTCTATCACCATCAATTGGCTCACCGGCTCTTTCTCTCCAAAATCCCCAACATTTTCGATCCTGTTTACTCACCTATCGCTGGCAATTGAAGCTTCCCCACCTTATTGTTTGTGGTTTGTTTGTTAATTTTCCGATCGTCAGCACTCTCAACGCTTATGGCAATTATCGGCAGTGGAAGAGGCTAAGAAGAGAAGAGAAGAAAAAGAGGGTTTCTTGTTCAAGCCCACTTGGTGGAGTGTGTTTTGGTTGGTTGGTTGGGGCCTTCTATCAAATAGTTGGCAGATGGGTGTTTGGTTGCTATTCTAGGTTAATTGAGGGTTGGAAAAGTGGGTAGGGATGGAGTAAAGGCTACTGGAGTTGTGGTTGTGGCCGTTGGAAGGGATGGGAAGTGGTGGGAGGTGGTTTACAAGCAACCTGCAAGGGTAAGCTGCATGCCCGCACGTGCTCATAGGCAAGAGAGGGTTAGGTTGGTTGGGGAATTTTTAAGAGTAGGTAGTGGGCACCCAAAAAAAGATTGTGGACAATAAACGAGGAGTGAGGAAAGTTGATTGGATGGTGGGAAAGTGTCATTAGATCATTATTTCGGTAGAAAAATATTTTACCGAAAAATATTATTTCGGTAAAATTGGATGTTTATGATATAAAGAGGGGGTGAAGTGATCCTTTTACAATAGATTGGGGTAAAAAGTGATTGAACCTAAACAAAAATAATGAAAACATCATAACAAATAATTCTGAATCTAACTACTTATTACTTATTAGGTTTACATTTCTACTTGCTTTTAAAAGATAATATTAATTATACTTTTCTTTTAGAGCAAATAATATTTTCCTTAGTACTGCTCAATGCTAATCACTCTTTTCAACACCGCGTGGTCTTTGTAAAGCCAAACCGTCGGCAGCAAATTAACGAATAGACCACCTAATTAATTAATTAATTAATTTTACATAATTGAATACACAATTTGTCACAAACTTTTGACAAGTTCCAACGACAACATCATTATTGAAAGGATTTTTTGTGTACATCCACAGACAAGCATCTTCTGGGCGGCAAAAAAATATGTATTTAGTATGCTCGTCTTGTAGGGAGCTTTATTTTGGTGCTCTCTTTCTCTCTCTCTTTCTACAGACATTAACATCTATTATAATAACATTGAATGATTAGTGAATAGTAAGTCCAAATGTCACAATGTAATTGGTTATAGTGGTTAGTTATTTAAAGAGAAAGACATTAGTTGTAAACAAGAAGACTTGACTGGATGAAAAACTTCTGCTTTATTCTCTCTGAAACCTCTATACAGTTTCTAACATATACAATTCAGCTATCAAAGAGCTCTCTTTTTCACTGCAAAAGCAATTAAATTGAAAAAAGCAAGGCTCTTGCAGTTTTGATCCTTAAAACCAGGTACCAGTTTTTTTTTTTTTTTTTTTTTTTAAGTTTTGTTGTGTTTTTCTTGATGGGTTCTCACTCTTTTACCCTGTGATCTTGTTTTACATATATAGATATATATAACATTAAGCACTTGATGATATGATGTATAATATAAATCAAGAAATAATAATAAAGAAGATGATATTATTTGAAAACCATTCAAAACCGGTCAACGGCTCTTTTGAACTGGTTTTTAGGTTATGTTTAAAAATAGTTCAAGCAGTCAACCTTTTTGGTTTCTGTTTGGATTTTTGAATCAAACCAGTTTTCTGGTTCGATTCAAAAAATGAACCGGTTTGGTCCAGTTAACCCCGGTTTTGAGCACCTTTGAATTTCACTTCTAAAAAAGAATTAATAACATTTACTTAATTAATTATTTTTTCTTGCCTTCAACAAGCTTCTTATCACGTCTATATTTTACAGTATTTGAAGATCAAAGTTACAGCCAGTTAATTCAAGTACGATATCTTTGATTAGATAACACTATTGTAAAAAGTTCCATAATATGATCCTTGCATGTTATTATTATTATTATTTTTAATGTTATTTATAAGCTGCTCATATATAAGTACATTACTTAAATTTTATTGTTTGTTTCTTGTTAACTTAATCTTCATGTAATATTTTCTGTCACTTCTTGTTTCTTAACTATTAATATTATCCATGTCAAGTGTAAATAATGGTTATATAATTTTTTAGCTGAATTACATTTTCCCACCCTAGGTATCATGAATGAACATTGATACTCCTGGTTTGTATTCTTGGTAAATTGGGTGGGTGGGCTGGGTACTGGCCGGGTCTCACGGGTACGGGTCTTACGGGTACGGGCTCAAAACGGGTCGATTTAAACGGGCCCAATATTTTGGACCCATACCCTACCCTATACGGGTATGGGTGGACCCGCGGGTGTCCGTACTGTTCACACCAGTTTTAAATTTTTGCAGTTACACCCCCAAATCTTCCTAAAATATTCATTTTTGAGCAAAATTTGTCACCAACCAAACAGAAAAAAGAAACCCACGTTTTCTCCCAAGTTTCTTAACTATTAATATTATCCATGTCAAGTGTAAATAATGGTTATATAATTTTTAAGCTGAATTACATTTTCCCACCCTAGGTATCATGAATGAACATTGATACTCCTGGTTTGAGACCCTTTTTAAACTTCTAAATGGTTTATTTTATTTACACCCTTGTGAGATCAATTAGTATAAAACTCATCCGCTTTATTATGAAAGTATTTAAAAACTTCTATGTTGTTAGTGATACGCTAGGGTTTCATCCAATTTTAAATTCAAAAGTTTGTGTTGCCCCTCTGGTCACTTTACCAACTTAAAACAATATTTCTTTTTTATTCCTCAATATATTTATAAATCATCTAAAAATTATTAAAATGCTAGAATAGTTACCACACAATTTATGAGTCATTTAAAAAATTTAATCTTAATTATTTTGGAGGAAAGATTAGTATCAAAAAATCATTATTTTGATTTGGTCTTAATTTAAATTATTTTAAGAGTTATTTTTATTTTCCAGCCTTTGTCTATCTCATAATATAAATTTCAAAACATTTGCTTCAGTTTTTTTAAATAAACATTTATCTTTACATATTTTGTTAAATTCATTTATCTTAACCAAATTCATTTTTTATTTGAATTTTTTATTATTTAATTAAATGTTTGTTTATATTTATTATGTAAATGTGTAACTTTGAAAAGTATAATTGTAAATTCAAGGTTGATTTGTGGATTGGATATTTGAGTGAAGGATAAGTTGGTAAGTGATGAGCGGGGTAAGACAGACTTTTGATTTTTAAAATTGGATGTATATTACTAACAACAAGGGGTTTTTAATATTAGTAAACAACTTTTTACCCAAATAATAGTTTAATGACACTTTCTCACCCAAAAGGTTTCAAAATACAACTTTACTAACCAAACGTTATATTCCGTTAATAATTTCCGTTAAATACAGTGATATTTTGTGAAGACGAAAATATCGTTCTTTCTTTTTTTTGCTCTTCTCTTCTCAGCCTCCATCATGGCCAGAACCATTACCAACTCCACCTAAAGTCAATAAGTTTTAGTTTCACACTATCTATTAAATTACTAACATGCTAATCTTATGGATTCCCAACTCTTTGGTAAAATGGTCATAAGAATTGAGGCACAAACATCATTATCAAATTCAATTTTAACATATGACAATTGATTAATAATCGTATTAAAATCATTTAGATGTCTGAAGCACCTTTTTAGATTAAGTAATATTTTCATAAGAGGTACCTTGTTATTCTCTAATCTTAAAGCTATGAAATTCAATTTTTGTTTCGTTTTTCATTTTCTTTTATTTTTAGAAAACAAATTCACATATTCTTTACAATAAATGGTTAAGCACTGTATTACACAATCATGCTTCTTGCATTTTAAATTATCTTGCATTATGTATGATTGATTGTCTAGAGATTTAGCCAACAAACCACTTATAGCAATAAAATTATTCCTTCATGCTCATATTCCAACTAATTTTATACGAGATTAATACATATTTAAATTCTATATTATTATTATTTTTTTTTCAAATTTGATGTAATTAATATGTTATATTGCAAATTTAGTTTTTTGTTTTCGTAATTATTAAACAATGTAATTAAATTTGAGCTTTTCTTTCAACTTAAAATCATCCTAATTCTACCATATTCAATTGAAACGTTTTTCTATAAATTTACTTGTCTAATTAGTTATGGCGGTGTGTTTGAATGGAATAGCAGAGTAGTTAATTTAATAAAGCTGTAATAAAATTATATTATTGTTGTATGTAACATCCTTTTTTGTTTGTGACACAACCATTAGCTCTTGTAACAATTTTCCTTGCATTTATATTTAATATATTAAAACCTACCTAACTTTAACTATTGCTAGTTTAGTTTAATCCATTACAATTTCTTGTAGCAAATGGTAACTTCAAACAAAAATATTGTGGCAACCCTAACTATTTGTGTACAGGGACCAAACTATGGAGGCTATTATAGGGGCAGTCATTCAAATTCTAACATGCACAGGGCCGCCATTATGCCAATATGTTCGATATTATAGGAAGCTTCATGGGAATATGGAAATTCTGAACAGAAGATTGGAAGAGTTAAATAAGCGAAAGGAAGATGTTGATGCAAGGTTGTGCACCGAGTGTAATATGGGGAAATTACCTAAAGCTGAAGTCACTAATTGGTTGCAAAATACTGCAAGGATCAATAAGGAAGTAGAAGACATTGAGAGACAAGTTAATAGGGTGAAATATTTCTCACGTGCACGTCTAGGAAAGCTTGTTGAGGAGAAGATTGAAGAAGTGACAGTACATCACCAGAATGGTGCATTTGAGAGTTTGGTTATTGATGCACCTCCAACTGCTGGAGTGGTACTACCAACAACAACATTCGTAGGTGAAACAACGGCGGAGAAAAACATGAACGAAATTTGGGAACATTTGATGGGTGATGAGGTGATGAAGATAGGAGTTTGTGGGATGGGGGGAATCGGTAAAACAACTATAATAACTCATATCAATAACAAACTCCTCGAGGAGACGAATAAGTTCGAAAAGGTGATTTGGGTCACTGTATCTCAACCACTTGATCTTATGAAATTGCAAGATCAAATTGCAGCTGCGTTGAAAGAAGATCTTCCCATAAATGAAGATAAAAGGATACGGGCCGGAAACTTATTGAAAATGTTGGAAGGAAGAAAGATTGTGTTGTTATTGGATGATATGTGGGAGGCATTTAAGCTTGAGGAAGTGGGAATTCCTGAACCTACAAAAGACAGTGGATGCAAATTAGTGGTAACAACTCGTTCACAAGATGTATGTCTTTCCATGGGTTGTAAAATAGTCAAAATGAGGTGTCTCTCAGATGATGAGGCATTGACGTTATTCATTGATAAAGTGGAACTTAATATTTTTGAAGTTCCAACTTTAAAAGACATTGTGAAACTTGTGGTAGAACACTGTACTTGTTTACCCCTTGCAATTGTCACAGTAGCTGGTTGCATGAGGGGAGAATATGACATTTGTGAATGGAGGAATGCACTCGAAGAATTGTCTCAAAGCATACAAAGTGTCAAAGGCATGGAAACAAATGTACCGAGGCAATTACAGTTTAGTTATGATCGCTTGAAGAGTAAAAAGGTGCAACATTGTTTCTTATACTGTGCACTATATCCCGAAGACTTCAAAATCCCGAAAGAGGAGCTAATAGTTTATTGGATTGCAGAAGGACTGGTAGATGAAAGGGCTAGTATGCAAGCAACATATGACTTAGGTTATTCCATATTAAATAGACTTGTTAACAATTGCTTGTTGGAGACTGCTGATAATGGAAGGTGCGTAAAGATGCATGATCTTATAAGAGAAATGGCATTGTACATTACAAGCACGAGTCCTTTATTCATGGTAAAAGCTGGGGAGAATTTGCTAAGATTACCAAGGGAACAAGAATGGAAACAGAATCTTGAAAAGGCTTCATTAATGAGGAATAACATTTCAGAAATTCCTCCAAATATGTCACCAGATTGTCAAGCTCTTTCAACTTTTCTTCTACAAGGAAACGTTTATTTAGAAAATATTCCTGAATCTTTTTTTGTAAGGATGCAAGGGTTGAAGATTCTCAATCTTTCCTACACCAGTATCGAGGAGTTGCCAGATTCTACCTCTCACTTGACGAATCTCACAGCATTGTTGCTTCAATATTGCACGGAATTAAAGCATGTTCCTTGTTTAGCAAAGCTAGTGTGTCTTCGGAGTTTGGACCTTGAAGGAACTATAATAACAGAAGTCCCTGAAGGTATGGAGATGCTGCAAAAGCTTAGATACCTTAATCTTTTTTCGGTGTATCTAGAAAAGTTACCAGCTGGGATGTTGTCTAAACTAAGTCGTGTCCAAAAATTGAGAGTGTATTTGGGATCCAAAACTTCAGAAGAAACGGTTGAGGAGGTATCAAAATTGAGTGAATTAGATACTTTAGAAGCGTGCTTTAAAAAAATAGAAGACTTTAAGATATATGTCAAATCTTTAGGAAGTGGAGGTCCAAGACTTAGAAAATACAGTCTTACGGTAGGATTACCATTAAAGGAATTGCAAGGAATACAAGGCAAGTATTTTGAATGTTATTCATTTTGGCTCCCTATCAAAGAAGTTGAAGTTAATAGAAATGTAGTGTTTAATGGAGTGTCTAACTTCGTCGCGCCCCCAAAAGACTTACAGTGTCTGTTTCTACATGATTGCGATAATGTAAGAAGCTTAAGTGATGTTCTGTCTAACGAAGGAGGAGAGTATTCAGATCTTAAAGTTGTCCGCATACGTGCTTGTTACAAGTTAGAGAAGTTGTTATCTGCTAAGTTGTTGCGGGCCTTACCAAACCTGGAAGTGATTGATTTTTGGCGTTGTGATGAAATTGAGGAGATAATAACATTAGATGTCGGTGAAGAAAAAAGTGAGGAAGATGGAAGGAGTAATACCACGCTAGCTCTTCCTAAATTGAAATTATTGAGATTGTTGGATCTTCCAGAATTGAAGAGGATATGTAGTAGTAATGGAGTAATGGTTTGTGATTCTCTCCAACAAATTGAAGTATATGGGTGCCCAAAACTGAAGAGGCTGCCTCTGTCTCTTCCCCTGCCTGCAATTAAAGAAATCAACGTAAGAGAAGACTGGTGGGATTCATTGGAGTGGGACAATCCCAATGCAAAAAACGCCCTACAGCCTTACATCAAAGATTTGTGGTGAATGAAGCTGTGGAAGAAAGGTAATTAATTGATAACGTTGAGTGTGTTTGGTGGTTATTTATTGTTTGTATTCATTCCACTATCACTATTTGATTCCGTTGACGCCACTTAGCAAAAGTTTATTAATTAAAGCTTATTGCTCATTTATTTAATATTAAATCATTTGTTTTCCTACTATGACTAATTTTTCTTTTCAGATTTTTTTTCTTTTTTGCTTTTTCAAAATTTCAAAGTTATTATATTCTTTTACATTTTTTTTAACATTTTTTTTTCACAAAAAATTATCATAACGTATGAAGTTCATGAATTTTAAAAATAAACATTATTAATCAAATTTATGAATATTCCTAAATAGTAAAATACATATACACACCGGTAGTTTCAAAAATTTCAAAGTTATTATATTCTTTTGCATTTTTTTAACATTTTAGTTTTCAATTTTCTCATAATTTTGATCGTTATTTCAAGTTTTCAGATTTTTTTATTTTAATTTTTCAGATTTTTCTTTTTCAATTTTTTTAAATAATTGTTCAAGTTATTTTAATTTTGGTTGTGTATTTGTAGTTTAGGTGTTCAAGGGGTACCAACTCTTTATCTTTTTTATTTCACTAAATTTGTCATAACATTATTAATCAAATTTATGAAATTCCTAAATAATCTTAAAAGAGTTTTTATTCAAAATACATATATAGTGTAGTTTCAATAAAATTACAAAAACGCCACTTCTATTCCATCCTTTCAATTAAATAATAGTTTGACTTAACGTATGCCCCACAAGACTGCCAGGTCAGCGATAAATAAATTTCAGTGGTGAGATTAGAGTTTTGACCTTCAATTTCATCTGTTTGTTTCTGGTAAAGCTCTTCTTTTTCTTCTTATTTCAATTTAATTATCACTGTTTTCTATTTATTTATCTTTAAATCTTTCAACATTGGGTGGTTTTAATCACATCCTTGTACCAGCATTCTCAACCCTTTTGAATTTTTTTAAACTGGGATTCCTTTCTTTTTGTTTCTTTATAGGAAGAATTTGACTCTCTCTTAGATGATGAAGTGGGTTCTGTGAAATATTTTGGTTAACTTGATTTCTTGTTCGCTTTTGTGTCGTTTGAATTTGAATTTGATCACCATTGTTGTTAATCATGCCTCCTTTATTCTTTAACCATTTTTGAATTTGATGCTATCAATTCATTCTCTGTTTCTTGGGTTCTTTTGTTTGATAGAATTTACTTCTTATCAATCTGTTCCATGGTAGAACCAATGATTTTGAGTGGCCTTTTTCGCCTTTAGGGTATACATAATGGAGAGTAAGGAGACAAACAATGGGGATGACATACCGACTTCTGCTTCCCCACCTCCGACGAATGAAGAGGTTAGGTCCAATAGTTCGCCGAATGAACAGGGTAACTTTGACTGGATTGTTGATGAAGGAGCAGTTCATGTGAACAATCCTATGCTGCAGCCGCATCCTGCAGATCATCAGGATTATCACATCTATAGGAAAGGTGATTCTGCTTAGTCCAAGCCAATTTCAGATTTTCCATAACTGTTGAACCGTGTATGGTGAAGTTATTTATTTGGTATTGATACAGAAGTTTGCTAGATTTAAGGCATGTCATGTGCAGCATAGGTTCTCTCTTGTTATCCAAGAAGAAGCAACATTACCACTGAGCTGGTTTCACGTTACATGCGCTGATGATAACAAAGTCACAAGGCTGTATGTATATTCCACCTTTCATTAGTTTATTTAAAGATTATTGAGTTTAGATTTGGCTGTTTGAGAACTCAATTTTTCTAACTTGAACGTGGAATATTTCAATTTGCTTCTTGAAGGGATCTTGGCAATTATGGATTGCAGGGATCTCTTGTCCCTCAGCTTAGATCTTTGCCTAATCTTCAATATCGGTAACAACATTTTGTTTTTCCTTTTGTCTGTTTGTTTTGTGAACTCAATGAATTTATGCTTATGGTAAATAAATTAGACACGTACGGTTTTATCAAATGAGTTGACATTTTACTGGCAGGGAGATATATAGCAATCAAATCAATGGGTCGATTCCAGCCGAGTTCGGAAATTTAACAAAATTGCTCAGCTTTGACCTGTACGAAAATCAACTCTCAGGTCCAATTCCAGATTCGCTTGGCAACTTGAAAGCTCTACTGTTTATGTAAGTGCATATATCTCCTGTATCCTTGAATTATCCAAGATTATATAAAAAAAATATATATATATATATATATCACAATGCATTTGTATTCAATTAATGTTTGGTTCCTCGAACAGGAGATTTAACGATAACAAGCTAGCGGGCACAGTACCCCAGAGTGTCAAAGCCCTTACAAATGAAATTTTGAGGATCCTGTGAGTTTCCCATTCTTTATTTTGTTTCATGTTTAGTCTTCTTACTTCTTTCTTATTATTTTTCTGCTGCTATGACTTGTGGCTTCTTTTGTTGGACTTGGATTCCTGGAGATCATCTTGATGATTGTTATTCAATGGTTTATCAGGAATGTTACAAATAATCAATTGTGAGGGCCCGTTTGACTCCACAGGCTAAGCAAAGTTACCCACTTATCACTATGTTATAAAATTAGTAAGAAAGACAAATTGAGAGTGTTTCTACTTGGTTCAAACATTTAAGCTATGGCCATTCCAATGATTTACAAGTTATCAACTCTCCTTGTTTTTGTAGGATATGTTGTTACAAGCATTAAACAAGAAGCTGGATCCCAGAAGTAAAATGATGTGAAATGAGAAACATCATTGTTGTATTACTTTAAATAAACCAAGAAGCTGGCCTGACTTTGTAATTTATATGAGAGAATAATGATCAAGATTAGATGCTTTGTGTTATCCAAGTTTGTCTCTAAATTTGCAGATAAGCTTGGTATATCTCCCTCCGTTTGTTGGATTGACAAGACAACTCACTTTGCCTCTTTAATTTAATATCACATTAACTCTTATAAATTAAACATAAAAACATAAAATATTCATATATAGTATACTCCATGGGCTAGACTGACAAAAGAATCATAATCAGCCTAATTCAAATATGTGACTCAGTGGTTTAATTTTTTGTTTGTTTGTTTGTTAGAATGAAGCCAAAAGAAAGTCATAGATTTAACATTTTGTAGGGAATCGTTTGTATATACAGTGAAGTTATTAGTGTAGGTGAGCTAGTTAAAAGTTTATGGTGAGCACAGTGACATCATACATTGTTTATGGGGATGCTTTCGATTGAAAGGCCTTCTTTGTGTGTGTGTGTGTGTGTGTGTGTAAATTCCTGCAAGTTGTAAATATAGTATATATTCTGAGGCTGGTTAAGTGGTGATTAAAGATTAGAAGACATTGTAATTACAGGAATTGGACATCTGAAAAGGAAATTTGAAAGAAGTTTCATTATGTCATTTAATGCTTGTGCAAGAGCCTTGGACCACCCAAAAAAAAAAAAAAATCTTAAGACCTGATAGCTTTTTAAGTACAGTTTGATTTATGAAGTTTCATGTCGAGTTACCACAATTTCATGGTTGAGCTCAACTCTTCATGGTAATAGTTGCTGAAGTATTCATTATGAGCTCAAAATGTCTTTTTTTTTCCTTTTTTCTTTTTTCTGTGTATAATTTTGTTAAACATATCTCTCGGTAATGTTTCAATGCGTGAGGACTTAATATATTGTATTCACTTCTCCCTTTCTGAAGTAACATTATTTTGATTATAGCTGCAGGGCAACAATATCCAGATAATCAAAATATTGGTGTTCAAAATCACATGTTTCCCTAGAGAATACCGCTTCAACTGGCTGGTAAGGCAGTCACTCCATTCTCACAGCTCTATCCTATAAAGCTGTATCTGCCATCTTTTTAACAGCATCTGACTCTTTTTGGCAAGATGGTAATCTAGATCTTGCCAAGTCAATTTTTCTTTGCCCCAAACTAAAGTATGATAAAGTAACTATCTATACTACGTTTTTTTGGTGGTCATCGATTCCTTTCTGAAATAACATTATTTTGATTTTAGCTGCAGGGCAACAAGTTCCAGCTAATCAAAATTCTGGTGTTCAGGATTACATTTTTCCCCAGGGAATACCATTTCAATTGGCTGGTAAGGCATTCACTCCATTCTTACAGCTCTAGGACCTATCCAGCTGTAACTTTGATTGGTAACACCCTGTATATATTGAATTGTATAGAAACAATAATCTATTTTAGCCCTAATGTTTTGTAAAGGACCCCCTACCTTCTCTGATGCAGTGATTTTCTCCTCAAACTGTTGTGGAAGGAACATAATCAATTTTGTATTTATGACATAGATATGGTTTGCAATGATCAAAGGAGTTATTATTCTTTTGGCATGGTTTTCTGAAAGGAGTTTATTTGTATCTTTTTACTAGATATCAGTAACTTTTTCTCTTGTGTGTTGGTTTGTTCAAAAATGAACTTTGTTAATCCTTTTGGAGGACTGCAAGCACTCACACGGACAGGCACACCACTTATGTACACACAGAGATAAGAAAAATATACTTGTAATTCAATAGACCTTTCATGTATTTTTTCCAATGCCTTTTGCCTCAACTTCTTAGCATTTTGAAATCATTAAATGTTGTCTAGCAATTTCATCTTCTCTCTTGCTAAACACAGAGCTTTTAGATTATCTAGTCTATCCTAATTATTGTCATAACAATACTTATGTAGGGAATGGGAGAGCCACTTCACAATGTAGAGATGTCATAAAAGCTTCCGACATTATGGTGCATGAGCAAGGCCTTCACTTCAGTCCTCACAAGGTCACTGTTTCTACTATGGGTTTGTCCCCCAGTTAAAACGATTTCTCCATGAGTCCAATTGTGCTTTAGCTGTTAGTTTGAATGCTACAACTGATGAGGTATTATATTTCTAGCTTTATTTTAATGGAACAAAGAAATAATGCGCCTCGATTGGTAGAGAGAGAGGATTGACCTCCTTTTGATGAATTATGTAGGTTAGAAACTGGATCATGCCAATTAATCGGAAGTATAAACTAGGGTTACTTCTTGAGACCCTTCGAGAGGAACTTCGTTTCAAACATAACTGCAAAGTTCTGTTTGAATATGTTATGCTTGCAGTAATCAACGACAGGTTAGATAAACCTTTTTTTTTATCTATACATTCATAGTGGAAACAAGAGTCATGTTGCTATCCTGAATTTTGCTAGTTTATGTTTGTGATCCCATAATTAGTGCAAAACTATTATAATGTCAGCTTTGTCCACCTGGGTCAAGTTCTTTAGCTCATCATTGATTTATCGGAGGGGGGGCTTTTGCAATAGAAATGCTGAATGCTTGTATGATTGTCTTATCAGACAAATGTGTATAACTCCTTAGGAGTGTTGACTTTCACCATTTACAGGTCAAGTAAGACTGGCTGTAAGGGGTAGGGGAACTGCTCAATCTTCCAACAATCCTACTGGACCATCTCAATGGAGATATCCAGCCCTAGTCTCTCCAGTTTTTTGCCCCTCTTTTACTACTAATCCCTATCTAGTCGCTCATCCAGTTCAGAATACAACAAAACCAGACTGATTCTTCTATTTCAGAATCAATTCAAGCCGCTGCCCCTCCCGCACCACTGGTCCAGACAGTTCCTTTCCCACCCAAAACACAGATTTTCTGTCCCTTATCCCAGACTGCTGCGGCTTGGACTGTTCATCCTCTTTCACCCTTGGCCAAGGAATTTATACCTTGTCATGTGGTGCAAGGTATGTCTTCTTCTTCGAATCTATTTTAAAAAGGTCCTTTCCCTGCATAAAGTTTTAAGTCATGGTACCCTGTGAGAAAATGTATTCCTGATTAATATTTTACTCGACCTCTTCTGGCCTTTTTAGTGATTGCTGTGCTATTTTCAATCCATTATGGAACACTATAATAAACATGAATAAATCGATTGAATTGGACTATTACCAATTATAATGATTTTAATCCAGGTTGAATCAGGGCTCTAAATCTGCGCAAGTCATCCATTTTCTTATAGGTATATTTGTAATATTTTTTGCTGGATGCTTGTAGGTAACTTTGGTCAATCTCAAACCATTGCTCCTATTCAGCCTGCCAGTAGACTGACTTCATCTGCTTATACCTTTGGTAATTAACATTTATCTCCATGATCACCTATAAATTTAATTCAAAATTACTGTTTGTAATCATGATTTTTAAGTTTTACAATCATAGGTCCAGTAATTCCAATTGGTTGACTTGCTCAGGCTTCCAATGCTTCAGTTCGACCATCTTCTAATAGATCTACAAACCAAGCCCGTCAATTTCGACCATCTTCCAATAGATCCGCATACAAAACCCATCCAGTTCGGCCATCTTCTAATAGATCTACATACAAAACCCGTCCAATTCGACCATCTCATACACCACAGTCCCAGACTGATTTGTCAGACCTGCATGCTCTTGCACAAGCAACTAAGGATTTTCCAACCGATCACATAGATCTATTTTTGCTGTTGACTTCCCTGAACTTTGTAAGTTTGCTTCCTTCCATATACAACATTTCTTCAATTTTAAGCAATGATACCCTTCTAATATACCCATATTTTATAGTGGCTGGCTATTTCTATTTCACACTGAAAAATTATAATCGACTTGCACAAATAGGTTGGATGAGAATGGGATCAGGTGTTGATCATGACTTCAATCTGGGGCAAGTAAGGTCCCTTAGATTATTTGTTGATGTTATTTTGTCTAAAGATTGTTCACCACTGTCCATTATTGAGAACTCTCATGGCAGCAAAAGGATCTGTTTTGGCTTATGTACCTTGGTTTATCCATCTCCAAGCTAAGCTAAACATCAAAATGCTTATTTAAGTTTGCCATGGCCAAATTTCCCATGCATGTAGATTTTGGAAATAGACGGTAAACCCTTTATTGTTGCAGAAAATCCAGCTAAACCTCATACGTCAGTGTGCCTCTAATGTTGGTAATGTTAAGGATGATATGAATGCTTGTCATTACAATAGCAATGACTAATTACACTTCTCTATGCAGATTTGGACAAACCTCCTCAACCAAGTGGAAGAGGGTGTTTCTTTTGCAAGAGGGATCTTTCATTCACACCAGAAGCCGATGGCCCCATTTCCCAGCCAAGTATTCCTCCATCTGTTGTAGTTTTGCCATGCGGCCACTACTTCCACAGTCGCTGCCTGGAGATTGTCACTCCTCCAGAGAAGTCTACAGATCCTCCATGCATTCTTTGTGACCTTGATGAGAATGCATCCAGAAGACCAATCTTTTCTCAGGTTTTCTCTGTTCCATTTTCTATCTCTAATCTCAGTGGCATCAGTCAAAGTATAGGAGGGATTGAAGCAGATAAGAATTGAATTTCACTGTACATAGCAAGTCATTAGATTCATATGATGAATAGGCTTCAAAGCAATTAGAAAATAGCAAGTGTACTTAATAATTTCACATTTTGAAGTGGGATTTAGCCATTAATTCGAATTCAGAAATTTATATCAGATTTCTTCACCTTGTATTGGTTACACAAATGATATTATATTTTTGAATCAATATCAACCCTTAAATCATCAATCTAACAACATTTATTACTTAATTAATATAATGATATTATAATTTAGACTTAAGCTTAAAAATTTAGGAATATTTTTTATTATACTATTGGGAGTCAAGCTTATTGATATAGACTCTAAATAATAATAATTAAGTAGGATGTTATTACCAAATTTTAATATTTATGTGGTTTCTATTATAAATATATGTATTAAATTGACCCATTAAGGATAAAATGACAAATTACCAATCATATTATTATTTTCTACAATAAGGTATGAATATATATATATTATATATATATATATAATATATATATATATATATATATATATATATATATATAATATATATATATTATATAATATAAGAAAAGAAAATACTGATTTGGACATAAGGATATGTTTCGTGGACTCTGCCTACGTAATAAAATTAATAATAATATTTGGACAAATAAAAGAACAAAAAAATAATTAAATAATTGAATAATAAGAAAGATAAAGTAAAGTTGTTAAGAAAATAGTCATGTAGAAGGAAGTGCATGGATACTAATTGAAAATACATAACGGATCAAGGAATTAACATGAGAAGAGACAATTAGATTCAGTCGACTGGATACTTTTGAAGCGCGTTTTGTTACATTTATGACTTCAACATGTATGTCCAATCCTTAGATGGTTAAGCACCAAAAAGTAACCGTGTCCTGGTCTCTGATGTCCTTCTATACAAGAATATGATAATCACTTACTAGATGTAGAAGGCGTTAATAAATTTGGCTGTGCTCCCAATAGACGTTCAGTGTCTAATGACTAATGGTAAGTGTGACGCCAAGCAAGTACTCAGATCTTAAATTTCTCTATTTGAGGGATTGTTGGTATTTAAAGAAGTTGGTCTCACCAAAGTTGTTGCCGGCTCTACAAAACCTGCAAGTGATTGAAGTTTACGGCTGTGGTCAAATGGAGGAGATAATAGCATTAGATGATGAAGAAAACGAAGAAGAAAGTAAGACTGAAGGAACCAGTGGTATCACCATATTCGCTTTTCCTAAATTGTGAAAACCGGGTCTGATATACTCCATGTGTTAAAGTTAATCATGTAAATGTTTGAGTCTTTCATATTCCATGTGTTTTGATAAAGTGTATTCATTCATTTCACTGTTTAATTCCATTAATATCCAGAGTTTATTGATTAATTTGACATCCAGTTGAGCTCTCTTATATTATTCTATTTTACTACGTTTTACAAGAATCCATCTGCTCTTAAAGTTGGAAAGTTTTAACTAATTACATGAGATGAGATTCCACCTATAGTTTAATGATCAATTTTTATACAATGAGTACATACGGTAGTATTGATTGCGTTTATTCGTTTGAAGATCAAAAGAATCTTCAAATTAATAGATTTTCTAGAGATTTAGGATGAATCCGTTTGGTTTGAGATAAAGTGAGATATCTATCATATTTGTGCAATTACGTCTACAAGAAAAACTATATTTTGTAACTAATTTTTTAGTAACCGGCTAAAATTAGTGACAGAAAGCCTACATTTATCAACT